TTATTTAAAATAAAAAATATTTTTTTAAAAAATTAAATAAAAGGAAAACATATAGTTTTTGAGTTAAAATTATATATCAAAATTAATTAAAATAAAAATATTTTTTATAATATCTTAAAAGTTAGTGAACAACAACGAATTTATATACAGATTAAGTTTAGATTAACAATTAATTTTCACTTACATCAAGTTAGTAAAATATTAAATTAAATCATAGTATATTTTTGATGTATAACCACATCAAAATAATATTAAAAATCTACGCATAAATTATTTTTATAATTATTTAATAATTATTTTAGTTATTTATTTTAATTTTAACTATAATATTTTATTTTCAATACTGTTTTGATGTGGTTATACATTAAAAAGATTTTAAGATATTCAAAATATGTATTATGATTTAATTTAAGAATTTATTAACTTGATATAAGTAAAAATTAATTGTTAATCTAAAATTTTAATATTTGTATATAAACTTATTGTTGTTTACCAATTTTTAAAATATTATAAAAATCAAACTTGTTTTAATTAAATTTGATACATAATTAAACTTAACAACTATAAGTTTCTTTTTGTTTAATTTAAAAACAATTTTTTATTTTCACTTTAAATAAAAAAATAACTTATCATATATATTATTACAACTAAAGCACCTGATTATTGTGTTTTTATTTTATTAGAAGTCTCAAATACAAAACAACAATCAATATTCAAAACTCTTACAAATCCGTAAAAGAACTATTGTTCATATAAATAAAAACAACATTCACATAGTATACAAAATCATTATCATATTGATAAACTGCAATTTTGATTTGGTCTCTCAAATATCTGTAAACTATAGAAGTGTAGATAAATTAAGCAAGTAAAACATATACAAATACAATTTCATACTAACTTATTCTTTTAAACAAAGTATGTTGAGTTTCTAAATACTCAAAAGGTTTAAAATGTTTATTTGCAGTTGGCTTGTAATTTAACTTAGATATTTTACTTACACTACATATATATTTTGATCAGCTTTTATAATTAAATTAATAATATATATTATATTATTTTAAAAGAGTTTCTTAATCCAAAAAAAAATCATATTAGTTATCCTTACATGTCAGTTAGTAAGGAATTTTTGTTGTTGTTGATGTGGATGATCAAGGAAGTTTTTCTGACATGTTCTTTTACATAAAAGTTTGTATGTTATATTTTAAATATAGAAATATAATATATTAATATTTAAAATTGAGTTATGCTAGTCTATTTTTCTGTAAATGTATTGTATATATTTTTATAATAAGTAATATATTCATAAAGTCTTATAAGTTTATCTTTGTAGTACAATAGACAATTTTGTATCCACATATCTGAAATACAATTGTGTTAGTTTCAAAATTTTATTTATTTATTTGTTATGTATGTAATCTTTATGTTTCTAAAAGATGAACGTTTTAAAATTTTTTAAATTGTGAATGTTTAAAAAAAATTTAGAAATTACTATTTTATAATTTTTTCTATTAACTATTATTTAAGTTTTTTTGGAGAAATTTTCTTTCTAAAATACTCATTATTTTAGAAAGAAAAAGAGTATATATTAATGCTATAGAATTAAATGATAATTATTTTACTGATTCAAAAATAATATTTTATTTTTATTTAGTTTTTGTAGATAACGATATTAGTTTTAGTGGTTCTATTTATTTATTTTATATGTATTTTAAAAAAATCTAAAGTAAGTTTTTTATTAATTCTTTTTTGGTGATGTGGCAAAAAGAGAGATTGGTTATAAAAATTTGATGTGGGTGGCTTTAGGAGCTCCAAACTTCTCTTTTCATCTATTACTAATAAAAGTTGATGCTAAATGCCTCTAAGGGTGTCCACATAGGATTTAAAGATTCAATTCTTTTGGTATATATCAACATTATTTTTAGTTAATTATATATTGTATATTAAAATTAATTAATTCGTTTTAATTATTATAAAGAAAATTTCTAAATTTTAATTAATTTTGTTTTTGTTGTTATTAGGAAATTTTCTAAATTTTAAGTTAGTTATTAATAAAAAGAGTTATGAAAATAGATCTTATTTTTATATTAACAATAAAAATGTAAATTAACATATAAATAGATTTATGAAAAACAAATTATATATATTGAACAAAATTATTAAAAACTATATTTAAAACCATAATTAAATTATTTTAAAATTTTAAACACTACAAACAATTAAAATCTGAACTCCCAACTTAAAATATATTAGTTGTGGTCCGTGATGATGTTTTAGGTTAATGAGAGCGTCCACATAAGACATATATACTCAATCTGATTAGTCTATATCAGCAATTTTCATTAAACATAAAAAATAACATTATTAATAATTTAAATAAATTAAAACATATAAAAATATAAAATTATCACAATATAATGGAAAATTAAGATAAGTTTTTTAACTAAATAAAATAAATTTATGTCAAAAGTCTAAATATATTGTGAAAATAAAATGGAAACTCATTGTCACAAAAACTAAACTAACAATAACAAATATGTAAATCAATAACAAAAAAGTTAAATTAAAAAAATATATTTAGCATATATTTTTTAAATGAGTAATTTATTTAGAAAAAATATTTATAAACATATAAAATTTTATTTAAAAATATCAATACTACCAAAAAAAAACATTCATCTTAAATTAGCAAAAAAGAAAGTCATATAAAACTTATAATTTTTGGAAAAATATTTAAAAAATTAACACAAAAATCTTAACAAACCAAAAATGATACTTATACTAATTACTGAAGAAATCAATATAAAAAAATGGTTAACTAACAAAAACCAAAACATAAATTATTTCTTACAACATGTCAATACAATTAAAATGAAAGTCCATATCGAGAAAGTTAAATTAACAAAAAAAAATATATTAACTTAATATCTATGTTATTTATTTAACAAAATCAATATAGACATAATAAGTAAGAGAATAAAAAAAACTTAAATAATACTAAATAACTTAACTAACAAAAATAATATAAATATTTAAGCTATTATTTAAGAAATAAATATTAAGAAATTAATTAACTAAAAAACTAAATCGAAAATTAAGTTTCACAAAATATTATTTTTTAAAAAACACTTAAAAATATATTGATTTGATATCTGACTAACTACTTAAAAAATCATATAAAAATATTTAACTAACAAAAAATGTATGTCTTCAAAATATCGATATTTTAAAAACAATGGTGTGTTAAAGTAAAATAAAAATTAATATCAAGAGAGGTAAATTATCAAAGAAAAAAGTCGTATAAAATAAAATTAGCTTGATATTTATGCTAACTATCAAACAAATATTAACTAAAAAAAGCAAATGATGGTATAAGCTTTTGAGAGAAGTTCACTTAAAATTTAGAATAACCAGTTATAGCATGTCAAAATAGTATTTTAATTAATTTTAAAAGTAAATTTAACAAAGAAAAGCATTTATGTAAAAGATATTAGATTAATATATATGCTACCTATTTGAAAAAAATTAATAACAAAAGAGATTACTTAAAAATCTATATGTTTTAAGTATATCAACCTGCAGAAAATTAGATAATTAAAATAAAATATAAAATTATCATCAAAGATATTTAAAATAACAAAAAATAAGATATAAGAAGAAAATTAGTTTGAAATATAGTTCCAAAAACATTCATGATTTCTAAAATATTGGTGTTGACTATGAATAACCATATAAAATTTTAATAGGTTATACAAGTTTCTAAATCAAACATATTATTTAAATTTACAAAGACTAATACATTGGTTGCGTCTGGTTGAAAAATTAACAAAGTAAAATACTACACAAGTAACTTTACATTCAAAATATAATAAGTAATAAAGTCTGATTTATATACATATTTACTGCTTATAACTTAGTCAACATGAACAACACATGAACAACATCCTCTAAATTTTTATTTAAATAATATAATATGACAAAGTTATGAATCAAATTCAAATGGGAATATATGAAGATAAAATATTCAAATCAAAACATGAATAAACACACAAAAGATAAAAAAAACAGTGATAATGTGAAGTCTCAACATTATCTTACATGTTAAAATACAAATATTAGCAAATAGTTACTGCAAATAAAATAGATCTTATAAATAAGTGTGGTGCAATGATATAGGTAGACGTAAATTTTCATAAGATGATAAATGTGGTGCAATGATATAGGTAGAGCTGTTAATCATAAAATCTCATATGACAGTAGATTTGTCCACTGTAAAATCATCTATGTAATAATTCTCATAATTGGTAATAGAATAACTAATCAGTGTACAAATTTAATATAAATTTATTGTTATTTTAAAATTTTAGTTTTTAATGATTCTATTCATTTATTAAAATTTTTGTTATTGTGGCAAAAATTGTTAACAATTTAACAATTAAAACAAAACAAAACAAAACTTTGAAAATACTATCTATATACATTAAACTCTTAAAATCATTAATAAAAAATAATAGATTTTCTAAATACACATAATTCTCTTTAAACCTAATAAATCTTCTATAAATTTAACAAATCTCTCAATATTTTAAATTAACACAAATCTATATAATTCTTACTCCCACTAACCTCCTAATTCATTAAAAGAGGTATATTATATAAAAAATATGTATATGTACATATCATATTGTTGATGTATATATGTAAAAAAATATGAATTGCGTCAATTTAATGTTCATGCTTACAGAAATATCACAATATATACCACCCAAAACTTGCGTTTAATTTTTCAGTTACACGCAAATTACAGGTAATATCCGTAAATGGGAAATCAAAAATCCTTGTCCAGTTCGTTTTTGTCTATTTCTTCAACATACATTCTTCAGTTGCATGGTACCTCCTAATTTACGCTCCAATATTAGAGTTTCGCAATATTATTATTTATTAGTATTAGATATCAAAATCACTCTTGTTTTAAACTTTCTTTAAGTAAACGATTTGGGGCCTAATAAATTATTTTGAGAGAATCAGACTAAATACCAAATCTATAAAAAAACAAGGTCCTTCCTTTGATATTTTTAAGTGATCCGACGAGGAAATATAACCGAAGAGATCATCATAGCATCTAAATCACAACGTCGCCGTCTTCTTCTTCTTGTTCTTCTTCTGGAACAGACAAAATAATCTCTCTCTCTCCTCTTCTTCACAAACAATTAGGACAAAAGGGGTTTTCATTCAAGTTGTTGGGTTTTTGTTTCTTCCTCATCTCTGAGAATCTCCGTCCAATCTTCAATCATCTTGTATGTTCTTCTTCCCCTGAATCGATTCCAATTATCGAATTTCTCCCAAGTCTCTCATTGATACCACAATCAAAATTTGCTATTCCCTCCAATTTCTGTAGCCTAGATCTCCCTAATTCTATCGCCTTGTACATTCTTCGATTCAATTGAATTTCAAATTGACATTACTTAATCAGTTTTTTCAGGTCTTGTAAATTCGCAAAAAACAAACAATGGTTGAGCGAGGGAAGAGAACTCATAACCGTAGCAGAGACGATAACAGCGAGAACAGCAGAGATCAAAAGAGACGACTTTCTTACGAAACAGAAGAGAAGATCAAAGACGACCTCGTCGTGTACAGAATCCTCTGCCCTAGTGGAGTCATCGGGAGTGTGATAGGCAAAAGCGGGAAAGTCATCAACGTGATCAGGCAAGAGACGAGAGCGAGAATCAAAGTCGTAGATCCGTTCCCAGGCTGTAGCGAGAGAGTCATAACGATCTATTGCTCGGTCAAGGAGAAGAAAGACGTTGTCGATATAGAGAACAGCGAACCTAGCTACACAGAGCAGCAGATCACTCCTCTGTGCCACGCTCAAGATGCTCTTCTTAAACTCCACAACGCCATTGTTACTTCTTTAGCTACTGCTGCAGAGAACACTAAGATAGACAGGGATGATCTTAGAGAATGTAGACTGTTAGTTCCCTCTAGTCAATGTTCTAACGTGATTGGTAAATCTGGCTCGACGGTTAAGAAGATTAGGAGTAGAACCGGAGCTAACGTTAGGATCGTCTCTAAAGATGTCGCAGACCCTTCACACGCTTGCGCCATGGATTTCGACAACATCGTCTCGGTTAGTTTTCTTGAAACCTCTCTCGTGTAATATTTTCGCCTGTGAGGTTTTTTTTTAACCGGTTTCTTGTATTGATTATAGATATCCGGCGAGACTGAGTCGGTGAAGAAGGCGATTTTCGCAGTTTCTGCAATCATGTACAAGTTCAGTCCTAGAGAACAGATCTCTCTTGATTCATCTCTTCAAGAAGTTCCTCCTGCTAGCATCATAATCCCGTCTGATCTCTCAATCTATCCCCAAACCGGTTTATACCCGAACCAAGAACCTATCTTCCAGCACGGAGCCAGTGTTCCTTCGTTTATCGGTTATGGAGAAACCGCCTCGAACCCAGTCCCGGTTTTCTCTTCTTCCTCTCTTCCTATGGTTCACCATGGCTTCGGGAACTCTTCAAGGTCGGAGGAGCTTGTTGTAAGAGTCCTCTGTTCCTCTTCCAACATCGGCCGTGTGATCGGGAAAGGAGGTTCGATCATTAAGGGGATGAGGCAAGCGACCGGGTCTCACATCGAGGTTAATGACTCGAGAGGGAACCGTGATGAAGACTGTGTCATCACCGTGACTTCTAGAGAGTCTCCTGATGATTTGAAGTCTATGGCTGTTGAAGCTCTTCTTTTGCTTCAGGACAAGATCAACGATGAAGACGAGGAGAAGGCTAAAATGCAGCTTCTTGTGCCTTCTAAGGTAATAGGATGCATTATAGGGAAGAGCGGCTCGATCATAAGCGAGATCAGGAAAAGGACTAACGCAGATATTCATATCTCGAAAGGGAGTACTAAGCCTAAGTGTGCTGATCCAAACGATGAGCTCGTTGAGGTAAAAATGGTTCTTGGAACCGTTCAGCTTTGCTTTTTCTTAATTCTTGAATTCCTCTAATAGTGTTTGTTTTTGCGGATTTAGATAACGGGTGAAGCAAGCAATGTGAAAGATGGTCTTATTCAGATTGTTTTGAGGCTTAGAGATGATGTTTTGAGAGACAGAGAGACTGGTTCTTCCAGGAATAATAACCAACCTCCTGCAAGAACTGAGAATAACAGTTTCTTCTCTTCGAGTAGTGGTGGTAGTAATGCTGCTCTTGTGCTGCCTCCATCTTTCATGTCCTCTGTTCCGCAAGTTCCTCCGGTTGATTTCGATAGGAGACGAGAAACCGGGAGTAGCATGAGTATGCTTACTTCGAGCGGCGGACTTTATGGTTATGGAAGTTTTCCGGTAACATGATCCTTTCTTCTGCTCTCTCTATGGTTAATTGTAGTTTTAGCTCATATTCATAAGTTTTTAAGTTTTCTTTTTTCTATGAACAGCCGGGAAATAACAGTTATGGATCAAACTCTTCGTACACAGCTAATAATATATATGGAGGGTAATTTTGCATTTTGCAACTAGAGCAACAAAGTTAGTTTCTTTGTTGGTTATTTTCAACTTATCTTGTGCATTTCACAGGTTGCCTCAGTCTACTAGTACCATGGAGATTCGAATCCCTTCAAATGCAGTGGGTAAAGTAATGGGGAAAGGAGGAGGCAACTTGGATAACATAAGAAGGGTTTGTTTCATTTCATGAATCTTTTTGATTTTCTAACTTCCTCGTTCTCTCTCTCTGATCACCATAGCCTTCTTGGTCTCTTCTTCTTCTTCTTCTTCTTCTTTCTCTCTTTCCGATGTAACATTTTCACATTGATGTCTCTGCCCTCTCTCTCTGTCAGATATCAGGAGCTATGATAGAAATTTCTGATTCCAAAACTTTCCATGGCGGTCGCGTTGCTCTCGTTTCCGGGACACCTGAACAGAAGCGTACCGCAGAGAACTTGTTCCAAGCTTTTATCATGTCCACTTGAATACTTTGCTGTGTCTTTCTAGCTCTCAGTGGTTCTCAGGCTTTCCCTTCTCCTTTCGTCAAGCTCCATGGTTGCATCTGTCATCAAACTTTCCATTTCGGTAAACTTTATGGTTTCTCAGTGCTAGGACATCTTATAGTCTTACAGGACACCATTCTTTCTCCCTTTCCTTGCGACCTGTTCGTGCAATAAAATGCTTTTCTCTTTGCAATAAAAACAATCGTTCTTTTTTTATCAATCAAGCTTTTTTGCTTGATTTCTCCACATATTGAATCGGGTCTGCTTTGTGCGTACTCCAAACCAGCCCTATCAGTTATGTCTCAGCTTCTTTATACGCTAAAGTATACTCATCACATCATAGTTCTTGGTATTCTGGAGATTTCTGCAGTGAACAGCCATAGTTATAATAAGCCTATAGTAGTAGCCTAGTGATCTTCAAGAATCAGTAGTCTTTAGAATCTCTGCTCCTTGATGACCGGAATGGTTTCTGCTTCATAGAATCTATTGATGTTGCAATCTCATAATTTGGAATCCGTTGGTTTACTAGTAGAAACACTTTCTGACCCATTCTCTGCTACAAGCTCCATTGACTAAGTCCTCTTTTCCCAGATGATATCCCGTGAACTCTGATCGTGTATCTGTCCATACTCAGTCGTGATCTGGTACGGCTTTTGGGTTATCAGTAGAGGATTTTTAGTATTACAACCCGGCAACACTTCTGAATGTGATGTGTTTTCACATTGGCTTTTGCGGTCTGTTTAGCATTTATCCGGTTTTGATCAATTTTTTTCTGACTAGCCTTACATATTCACACATCGTTTCTCTACTTCTCTAGTTCTCATTTCATTTTCTGCAACAATGGGGTTCATGAAATGTGATGTATAGTTTAGTTCTTAGCAGTTGTAGTCTTCTTTATCTTTGGAACAGATAGTTTCTTAAAAGCAGATGATCCATTTGCCAGGTTGTGTAGTTTGGCAAAGCTTTTTATTTTGTGGTCATGCAGAGGAGTAGTACTAGTGGTTTACATTACGCAATTCTAAGTGTGTTTTTCAACATTTTTCCAAACATATGTTAACGATATATTTTATTCTAATATACAGCCAAAATATTTCGAAACTTAGATTAAGATACATTATTGATATATCAGCATCGAATTTGACTAATCAGAAAGAGAAAGCCTTCGAAAAAATCTCGAGTAATGGAACATTTCCCTGTTTTACTGATGCAAAATGTAACCGGAAAAATGCAATTGAACCAAACCTGATTTAATTTGGGTTTAGCTTCTGTAATATTGATAAAACCGAAAAACCGGGAACCAAAACCGTAAATCGATTTTGAAGTCCCTAACAATTGTTAAGTGATAACCTTTAAACTTTGCATTTCGAGGAGTGATTGATCATTTTCCTCGGAAAACGAGAACAAGAGTAAGAAGAAGAGGGCCCCAACAAAACGTTTGCTTCCAACTCTGAAAGACTCTAATGGCAGCGACGAGACGGTTGCTTCAGCGTGTGTCAACCAGAATTTCTACCGCCGGAGCACGGCGGAGTTATGGCGGTCAGCCGCAATCGAGCTCCAAATCTCCGTCTTCTTCTCAGCGATTGATGGGATTGGAATCCGAATTCAGCGCCCACAAGTAAAGTCTCTCTCTTTTCGATATATCGTCGATAAAACATCATCTCCTTATAGAATTCCGAACTTTTCCTCTCTTTTCTGAGTTCTGGGTTTTGCTCGTCTCATTCAAATCATTTCCTTTTAGTTTTCATTTCTCGTTTTAAATTTGGGTTTTGCTTTTTAATCGAAATGATCTTTGATTTTAAGTGTGTTCCATATCCAATCTGAAGATATTTTGAATTCAAGTCTAATTTATCTTCTTCTCCAGCGATATGATATTTTGTCTGGTTATATTGCTGTGTTCTAAAATGAATTTTGCATATGTGAAAGAAGAAGCAGAATAAGCTAAGAGCTTTGTTTGTTTTTCAGAATTTGAAAAACTTAGATTATCACTTTATGTTGTTTATAATCTTGCTATTTACCTTACGTCTATATAATCTCTATTTGTGTTTGTGTCCAAAAATCAAGTTACCATCCTGTTCCGGTTGTGTTCTCTCGCGCAAATGGCTCAACGATATGGGACCCTGAAGGAAAAAGATACATCGATTTTCTTGCAGCTTACTCCGCAGTTAATCAGGTGAAAATGAAACTCCAAAACCTCTTAGCTTCACTTAAAGTAGCACAATTTGTGTAAAGTTCTATACTTTTCTCGATTCAGTGTGAGACTAGATGTACTTTGTATGAAATTGCAGGGACATTGCCATCCTAAGATCATCAAGGCATTGCAGGAACAAGTGGAGAAGCTCACTTTAAGCTCAAGAGCATTCTATAACGACAAGTTCCCTGTATTCGCAGAGCGTCTCACGAACATGTTCGGTTATGAGATGGTGCTTCCTATGAACACTGGTGCTGAAGGTGTCGAGACCGCTCTGAAAATAGCAAGAAAATGGGGTCACGAGAAGAAAAACATACCTAAAGATGAGGTATGGTTTTACTGTTTTCTATATATGAATCATTGTTTGCATGAAACATGTTGAAATTTTTTTGGGAATGTGTTTACTTTCACAGGCTATAATTGTCTCTTGCTGTGGCTGCTTTCATGGTCGTACATTAGCAGTTATCTCCATGAGTTGTGACAATGATGCTACTCGTGGATTCGGACCATTGTTGCCTGGGAATCTTAAAGTTGATTTTGGTGACGCTGATTCACTTGAGAAGATCTTTAAAGGTGTGAAGAAATATCATTTCAAGGTTTGAGTTTTGGAGCTTATTGAGTGTATCATGTTGATGTTATGATAAAATTGCAGAAAAAGGAGATAAGATCGCTGGATTTCTTTTCGAGCCTATTCAAGGAGAAGCTGGAGTAAGTTCCTTACTACTTTTAGATTAATGAATCAGTCGATACTGGTTTTGGTTACTAAGATGGGGTTTGGTTTAGGTTGTGATTCCTCCTGATGGTTATTTGAAAGCTGTTAGAGAGCTCTGCACGAAACACAACGTTTTGATGATAGCGGATGAAGTACAAAGCGGTCTAGCGAGATCCGGGAAGATGTTAGCTTGTGACTGGGAAGACATTCGTCCTGACATGGTGGTATGTTCTTTTTTCACTTTCTCGATCTCATCCACCAGAAAAAAAAAAAAAGAAGCTATTACATTAGATTATATTATCAAAAATCTTGAATCTGTTTCTTGAAAGATTCTTGGGAAAGCATTAGGGGGAGGAGTGATTCCAGTGAGTGCAGTGCTTGCTGATAAAGATGTGATGCTTCATATCAAACCTGGCCAACACGGAAGGTTCACATTTATAATGTTACTTTGCTCTTTTTGTTATGAGAAACATTTATTGGTTTGTATTATGATAAAGCTTGTTTCTTTGTCAAACTCAGCACATTTGGTGGGAACCCTCTAGCTAGTGCTGTAGCTATGGCTTCTTTAGATGTTATTGAAGAAGAAAAACTTGTCGAAAGGTACCGTTTTTTTTTTACTTTCTTCATCGATTCTTGTTCTTTAGATTAGATTTTCTTTTCAGTTCTTGTATTTGGTTGAATTTTATTATAGATCAGCAAGTCTCGGAGAAGAGCTAAGGATTCAGTTGAATGAAATCAAGAAACAGTTTCCTAGTTACATAAAAGAAGTGCGAGGAAGAGGATTGTTCAATGCGGTTGAGTTTAACAGCGAAAGCTTATCTCCGGTTTCTGCTTACGATATTTGCTTGAGCTTGAAGGAGAGAGGAGTATTGGCTAAACCGACTCACAACACCATTGTCCGGTTAACTCCACCACTCTCCATAAGGTAAATTGAAAAACAGTTAAACCGGTTTGGTTTATTGAGCGGTTTATCATTGGCTATCGACTGAATCAATATCCGATATTTTGTTCTTGTCCTTCTGGCAGCTCTGATGAACTCCGAGAAGGCTCTAAGGCTCTTCATGATGTTCTTGAGGTCGATCTTCCAAATCTGCGGAAAATCAACGCCGGTAAAACACCGGTATCTCATTTAACCGAGTGTGATCGCTGCGGAAGAAACCTCTATGCTTAAACCAGACCGGAACTTGGTTAGGATCTTGCTTAATTTGATTGGTTGTATTGTTAAGAATGGGTGTGTGTTATTTGTGATTTCATTCACAGGACACACACAACACTGGTTCGGTATAGAAAATATTTGATACGTTTTAAGGCCGAACCGGATTGCACCGAGCTCGGTAGAAATAACTCTGGTTTGTTTCTGGTTTGGCATTGAATAATAAAAACCGATTTGGCTTTTTTTTTTTTTTTTTTTTGCTTAAAATAACCATTACACAACTTGCGCCCAACACTCATTTGTTTGGGCCTGAAGTAGAAACATACCGGAGAATCAAAAATTAAAGCATTATTACCGCTATACCCTTGATTAAACCATCAATTTACATTTTTCCTGCCACGCTTAAACCTTTCCTCGGTCTCGCTCTCTCGTCACTTTGCTATAATTCTTCTGCAACGAATCTAATTTTCTCCATCAAAACCTTGTAAGTTAGCATTTTCCGAATCGATTAGCCTCTCTCTCTCTGTCGACATGATTATTATTATTTTGTTTTGTTTTTTTCAGTGACATCAAGATCGAAACTTTTAATTGCAGAAATGGCGGCGGCTTTAGCTTCCAGAATCTCCCGTGGTAAGAGACGACTTACTTAATCTTCCTTCGATCTAATTTAACCAGATATTCTGGATCTTAATTATTATCAGTTGGTGAAAGTTTTTTGGTCCAGAGATTCTGTATCTCAATTTAGTGTAACAATCGATTCAGAGCTGTGAGATTTTTAAAGTAATGAAATGAGATTTAAATCTATTAGACTGTGATGGGTTTTGGCTTTTAATGGAAAATTTCGGAATATCAAGAAGTTTAGCATCAAAAAAGTGTTGAACTTTTTGTAATTGATTTTTGAAAGACAGATTCATGTGAATTAAACATTTTGTTGTTATGTTTGAATTTGATGATGATATTTATCAATTCATGCTGGAAAAATCTTTTATTTTCTTGGGTTTTGTTGTTTGATTTTGATTCATACACAAAAATAATGAGCAGGAGGACGTTCACTGCTTGGAGGTCTTAAGAATGATTTCTCTGGATTGATGAATTCTTCCAATGGAATGATGAATGAAACTATCCTCTCTCAGGTCAGAGAAATCTCTTAACCTTTCGTTATGATATTGGTTTTAGTATATGCTCTGCTTCGTTCGTTCATGATATGTGTTTTGCTTCATGTTAAATGGTTATTGGTTATTAGTATTTGCTCTGCTTCTTCGAGTTGTTACTGTTGTCTGAATCTTTTAGGATCGAATTTAGAACGGATAAATTGATGTTACATATGGTTTTGATGTGTTAAAAGCTTCTTCTTCTTCTTCTTCTCCGCAGCAACAACAGCGAAGGACGTTTATTCAAATGGGGACGGTTCTAAAAGTGGTGGACAACTCTGGAGCGAAGAAAGTGATGTGTATTCAAGCTCTAAAGAGCAAGAAAGGAGCAAGGCTTGGGGATACAATAGTTGCTTCGGTGAAAGAAGCGATGCCAAACGGTAAAGTGAAGAAAGGAACGGTTGTGTATGGTGTGGTTGTTCGAGCTGCGATGCAGAGAGGCCGTGTTGATGGAAGCGAGGTTAGGTTTGATGATAATGCGGTTGTTCTTGTTGAGAATAAAGACAAGAAGATCAAAACCGATCGCCAACCAATTGGTACTCGTGTGTTTGGTCCTGTTCCTCACGAGCTTCGCAAGAAGAAACATCTCAAGATTCTTGCTTTGGCTCAACACATTGCTTGAAGACAACAACCTAAACCACTTAGTGTCTTTTTTTTTTTTTTTTGTTGATTCTTCGTTGAGCTCGAAACTTTGTTGTGTACAAGGAATTAGAGGTTTTCAAAATGTTGTTTGAATTTTTTTTCCGGTCATGAATTACAAATTCTGAATGAAAGGCAAAAATAATTCAGCTCGGTTTGAATGTAGATTTCACATTTTTATTGAAAACTATATTTCTTGTATCATCTATTAGATTGCATCTAACAAACGGTGAAAATTAAGAAAAAAAAAAGAAATGGATACACTTAGTTTACATGGTTTTTGACTTTAATTAAAATTTGGATAAAGAAACATCTCAAAATTCTAGCTTTGGATCAACACATTGCTTGAGACAGAAACATAAACCCTGGTGTCTTCTTTTGGGTGTCGTCGTTCTTCCTTAAGCTCAAACCTTTTTGTTTTTTTTTGTGTTCAAGGAAATTAGAGGTTTCAAAATCTTCTTTGGATTTTTCTGGTTGACTATAATTTCAGTTTTATTGAAAACTTATTAACTAGTATTGTTATGCATAATTTATTTTATCACTGTGAAATCATATCTGGACTGTGTTCAAAACCTTTCCATAATATAATTTCAGTTTTTCCATTAAGCTCCAAAAACCTTTTTGTGTTCCAAGGAAATTAGAGGTTTCACAATCTTCATTGGATTTTTCTGGTTGACTATAATTTCAGTTTTTAATTTTCACGGTATAACTATTATTGAAGAAATCAAATGCATCTAAAGTTGGAATAAATGGTGAAAACTAAAGAAGACAAAAAAATTTTAAACACACAACTTACATGATCTTTGACTGAAATTTGGATGGAGAAGTAAGAATTGGTGAAACGTAGGAGGGGCACGACTTCTAAAATTTATAGTATTTTTTTACTTTAAACTTATTAAGACCACATTTAATTCTCTTCTTTTAGAACAAAAAAAGTTTGGGAGCAATTCGTTTTGAATTTCTCTAAAATATACGATCAACCATGCATATCAATTAGATTAGTGAGTGGTGAGGGAGAGATTATCCCATATCCAACATACGACGTTAACGTTGTTTTGGAATCACTCGTACCCTTAAACTTCATTGATGACATGATCGTGAGTGATGAGGGATAGATTTTCCGGTGCTCGGAACTCTGATCGAAGTTTTTATTTATTAGATCAACATTTGCGTTACACTTAACAGGACACAGTTTTTATCATAAAATACTCATATATATATTATATCGTCGACATCGAGTACACATGATCATTAACCTTGAGTGATAAGTTTATTCCAACGGGATACTTATTATATACTATATTATAACGGCGTTAACCTATAAAATCACGACGGTGGCGGCGTGAGGAACGGCAGAGGAGGAAATCTAAAGCCAGGGAAACCTGGAAGCGGAGGTGATGGCTGTGATGGAAATGGAAACGGTATACGTGGGATGCTTCCAGGGAACGGAGCAGGTACAGACGGAAATGGAGGAAAGAGTGACGGTAACGGAGGAACGCCGCCAAATGGCAAGCCCGGTGGAAATAGGAATTTCATTTCGTCAGTAGACTTCGGCTTCTGATCGTTGAGACGGCGAGCTGCGGTTGTTTCCGGCGTGAGGTGGAAGATCAAGATTAGGGTTAGGGCTAAAGTGGTGATCACTGTAGAAGCCATTTGTTATATGTGCTTCTTTAATTTTAGATGCTTCTGTCTGTCAATAGCAGATGTTAGTGTGAGTATATATATAGTCCTTTTTCACGTAACTTAACGAACTTTTAATTTATTTTTTACCATTGTAGATTGTAGTAATAATAAATTAAAATTAAACCAAGTATATATATATATATATATATACTCACACACACAAACACAACTAATTGGTGTAAAAATCGTGTACCATTCGAAAATAGGTGGACTGATTTAACAACTACAAATGCATGTGTATCGCATGTTAGCTGTTGCATACTTTCCAATAAAAATAAAAATACGTTTAACATGAAATTTCGTTGAATCAAAATAGAAACATGACAATTGACTAATTAAATACTATTAAATGCAGAGCCATGCACATGAACATGTGTCTCTCATGCAGCCTGGTTAAAAGCTCATTGAATTCGTCTAATTATATCAAAACCCAGCTCTATGCTCACATATTTTACACATCAGTGTTACTCTTAGCATTCACATTTCACTATCCTATTTATTGTTTTAGACTCGTGCCTACAAACTTAGAGGTTTGAGGTAATATTTTATAATAAAACTCTTAAAATTATTTTTTTGTATATAATGTATATTTTTAATTGAAATTATTAAATTCATTAGTATTCTGTAAATAAGAATTCTTTATAATTTGTTAAAAAAATAGAATATACCAATCTTGTATATACATTAGTAATATATACGAAATGGAAAACAGAACTACAAAACATAATTTAAAAATAAAACTTAAATTTACTTGATATTTTAGAATATACAAAGGCATTAAATATATAACCAAGTTGACTAATCCAAAATATAAGTTAAAAATATAAATTAAGTTGACTAATTTAAAATAAGTCGATCAATCTAAAATATAAATCAACTATTGTGAAATAAATTAATCAACTTAAAGTAAGCAGACTACTATAAAATAAATCAATTAATCGGAAATACAAATAAACGGTTATAAAATAAGTAGATCAACACAAAATAAATTGACTATAAAAAAATAAATCAACCAACCAAAAATAAGTCAATTCTTGTAATATAAATTAATTTTTGTCAAATAAATCAATTGTTGTCAAATAAGTCGATTAATTCAAAATATAAATTGAATGTTGTAAATTAAATCTAACAAACTCAAAAAAAAGTTAAGTGTTGTTGAATAACTTGACCAACCCAAAATATAAGTCAACTATTGTAAAAATAGGTAGATCAATCTAAAATAAATAGACCATTGTAATATAAATTGATTGTTGTTAATAAAGTCGATTATTGTAAAATAAGTCTACTGTTGTCAAATAAGTCAATTGCTGTAAAATAAATCAACTGTTATAAACTAAATCAATCAACCCAAAATAAGTCAACTGTTGTAAAAAAACAAAAAGTTGGCCAATCCAAAATATAAGTCAATCAATCCAATATAAGTAGACTAGTAATATAAATCGATTACTGTCAAATAAGTTGATTGCTGTAAAAGAAGTCGACTAATCCAATATATAAGCCTACTGTTGTAAATTAAGTAGACCAACCCTAAAAAAGTCAAATGTTGTAAAATAATTTAACCAACCCAAAATATAAATCAACGGTTGTAATATAAATCGACTCTTTTCAAATTAGTTGATTGTTGTACAATAAGTTGATTAACCCAAAATATAAGTCTAATATTGTAAATTAAGTTGACCAACTCAAAATAAATCGATTGTTGCAAAATAAGTCGATCAATCTAAAGTATAAGTCAACTGTTGTAAAATAAATTGGTCGACCTAAAATAAATCAACTGTTTTAAAATAAGTCAACCAACCCAAATTATCCAAAATATAAGTCAACATTTATGAAAGAAATCGATAAACCCAAATTATTAGTAACTGTTGTATAATAAATTGATCGACCCAAAATAAATCAACTGTTATAAAACAAGGTCAACCAACCCAAAATATAAGTCAACATTTATAAAATAAGTCGACCAACGCAAAATAGGTTGACTGTTTTAAAATATGTTAAGAGCCTGTTTTTACCGACGTCTATCATTTCCATCAAAATGTTTCATTTAAATGCTCCATTCAAATGATTCATCTCAATGTTGTTTGTTTTCTTTTGGGTTGTTCATTTCGATGATGCATCTCGATGTAATTTTGTTTGTTTGATTAATTGGTTGTAAATTTACATCTCTATTTAGGTGATTTTAATAACAAAATGACCAAAATACTCATATTTTCATATAATCATATTTGTAGTCTTAATTAACTATTTTAATTTGATGTAAAATATATTTATTAATCAAATAGTTTTGACAGAAAGTAAGGTTTTAACAGAAAGACACGATTTTACAGTTTTAATGGGAAAACACAATTTGTAATTTTGACAAAAGAACTTGATTTTAGTTTTGGTGGCAATACAATTTTTCGGTTTAAACAAAAATATGATTCATAATTTTACCAGAAAATGTAATTTCACAGTTTAGGTGGCAAAACATGAGTTTATAGTTTTGGCGGAAAAATGTTGATCAGCGATTTTGACAAAAAAATATGATTTTGCGGTATTGGCAAGAAAATAGAATTTGACAGTTTTGACAGGAAAGTATAATTCCATAATTTTGGTAAAATACTGTGATTGTGTGGTTTTGGCGGAAAATACTATTTCAAGAGTTTGGCAGCAAACTATAATTTCATGATTTTTTTGAGAAAACATGATTTTTATTTTTTCTGGAATTACTGAAAAGTATTATTTATATCATGTTTTTCTTTATCTGGAGTTTGCGTCTAAATGCTCTATCTAGATAAAAGTATTTTAGTCATTTGTTATTTTGAAATGGATCATCTCCATTAAAATGATTCAATATAGTTCATCTAGAAGAGTTAAAAAAATGTTTAATTTTAAAAATTTATTCGGATGATTCATCTAGCTATAAACAAAAATTTTATCTCCATCTAGATGAATCATCTGAATAGAAAAATGAATAACATCACTAATCCAAAATATAAGTCAATTGTTGTAAAATAAGTCATCAACCCCAACGTAAGTCAATTATTGTAATATAAATTGAATGTTGTCAAATAAATCGATCTTTGTAGAATAAGGTGACTAATCTAAAATATAAAGTCGATTGTTGCAAAATAAGTCGACCAATTCAAAATAAGTCGACCAATTTAAAATAAGTCTATTGTTGCAAATAAGTTACAAATCCAAAATATAAATCAACTATTGTGACTAACCCAAATAAGTAGATTGTTATAATATAAGTCAAGTACTGTCAAATAATTTAATTGTTGTAAAATTGGTCGATTTATCTAAAATATGCCGGCTATTGTAAATAAAGTCGACTAACCCAAAAAAGCCAAGTGTGGTAAAAAACTTGACCAATCCAAAATATAAGTGAGCTGTTATAAAATAAATCGACTCTTTTAAAATTATTTGATTGTTTTAAATTAAGTCGGTTAATGCAAATATAAGTAAAATGTTATAAATTAAATTATTTAATTTAAAATAAGTAGACTGATGTTAAATAAGTCGATTAATCTAAAATA